ATCAACTTAAGATCCCTTGTCTGAAGGCAGTAACACATCCAGAAGATCTAAGGGACACTGTAATCATGGCCACTTTCAAGAAGAGTGAATCTAACTATAGCACTTATAAGAGGGCCTCCCTGTTGTCTGGCACAGGAAACATCATTGCAAGGATGCTGTTCAACTGCCTTAACCAATACATACATAAACATACACAAAAACTTTGCGTATTAATCACTTTGAATCATGCAACTGCGATTTTATTTCTTTCTTATTAATGAATGTAAACTAACAGTAGTGAAATATTTGTGCTGGATTTGTCTCATTGTTATGGAAGGGGCATTGAAGAAATTGATATCCTGACTGAAGAAGTACATGATGAGAACAGAGAGGGAGATTGGGAAGATCCACAGATTCTTGCCAAAAGTCTGAAAACTAATTTCAAAAACTGTTGGAGCTGTGAGGAAACTGTGTCCTATTGTTTCTGCGAACAAATAGATAAGGGTTTTGGGGATAACACCCAGACAGTTGCCTGTGATTCTTCAAGTATAATCTTGAGGAGACCAGAGAAAATACATCTGAGGGTGGCTTGGAACAGGACAGTAATGAAGAACTGATTAAATGAGCCAACACCAGGTGTTACCTAATTTGGTACAGTCATAGTAAGCAGTATAAAAAAGTGGACATTGTAAACAACTAGTTGCTGCAAACAGCAGTTTGGTCAGCTGTTTCAAAATTGTTCCAGAATATCTGTTGAGAGATGTCCATCTGATACAGACTCTGGTTCTTAGGATTTCTAAGCAACCAGTGTCATTGTATGTCCTACTGTTTAGTATTCAAGTTGTTGTGTGTCATTGATATCTGGGCCAGAAACTTTAGATGTAAAAAGGTCTCTTTTCCTTTAAAAACATGCTCCTTTCAATGGCTAAAGAGCTTCTCCTACCTGATCTTAGTCACAGAGAGGCACTATACAGATATGATCTTCACTGACCTCACAAAGCCTTTGACTTTGTCAATCATGAGGGTTTGTGACCAGTCCTCAACTTTGGCTGCCCTCAGCAAATTGTCATCATCCTTTCTGATGACAAAATTGGAATTCCTACTAAAGGGTCTGTAGTGGTCCCTATATCAGTGAAGGCCATTGTCAAAACAGGCAGTGCCATCATATCAATCTTTATCTCCATCTTCTTGACTGCACTTCTCCTCCAACAAGTTTCTCACGAGTGGTGATGATCTACAGAGCAGCAGAAAATAATTCAACCTTCATTGCCTCCACTCCAAGATTATGATCATTCCAACTATGATCGTTCTGCTTCAGTTCACAGCAGGTGCTGGTGAATGTGCTCACCTTGGGAGTCAGAACTCCAATTCACTGTTGCCTCTTTCACCAAAAACTACAGACCACTTTCAACTCACTTCCTCAGCCACAACATCAATGCCCATTGCACTGATCTATGATGATACCCTGGAAAGAGTGAATCATTTTCAACATCTGGAGCTTGAGTTTACATTTAATGTAGACATTAATGGCAAAATCCACCACTATTTCCAACGTCAGCTCAGTTTTTAGCTGACTTAGCCTCAAACACAGGACTAAAATTATGATATACCAGTAGCAGGGACAATGCTTCAAAGATTTGGATCATCTACAGTCGAGATCAAGTCAATGGAAAAGTACCAACAATGTTGGCAGGATGCACAATTTAATGTCAGCTTCCTCTCCCAAACCAATATTTCTAGCATCGAGGCATTTATTAGTTAGAAGTAGCTTTGGTGGTTAGGTCGGGTCAATTACATGCTTGACACCAGATTCCCAAAACAACTGCTTGACTCAGAACTTCACGTCAACAAGAGACTTCCAGAAGGACAAGGAATGCTTTAGAGATGCTCTTAAAGCAACTTAGAAGACAGTCCAAGATCCCTACTGATTCATGGGAGTCTGCATCCTGTAAGAGGCCAAAATGGAGGTGGTGTATTCAGGGAGACATTGACCAGCATGAGAGAATTCAATGGCAGCACACAGAAACCAAGTCCAGGTAGTGGAAGAAATGCTTAACTTCCAATACAACTATTTGGTCCCTCAAACACAACTTGTGGTAAAGGCTAAGGACCAGGTTTATTTGCCAGCTTAGTACTCCCTGAAAAGAGGGGATGGGGGGGCGATGGCCTAGTAGTATTATCACCAGACTGTTAATCCAGAGACCCAGATAATGTTCTGGAGACCCAGGTTTGAATCCTGCCATGGCAGATGGTGGAATTTGAATTCAATAAATATCTGGAATTAAGGATCTAATGATGACCGTGAATCCATTGTCGATTGTTGGAAAAACCCTTCTGGTTCACTGATGTCCTTTAGGGAAGGACACTGCCATCCTTACCTGGTCTGGCCTACATGTGACTCCAGATCCGCAGCAATGTGGTTGATTGAGCCCTCTGAGCAATTGGGGATGGGCAATAAATCCTGCATAACAAGCGACGCCCTCATTCCATCAATGAATAAAAGGAAATAAGTACAGCCAAGTCATCCTTGACCTCACATGACTAAGCAGTAATCAGTTTGTTTCCATGGAGGCAGAGTTCGTCAGTCAGTCAGTCTGATGGTATGGAATACTAGCCAAAAGAGTACCTTCAGGTGCTGTTCTACATGTAGAAACTTCTATGTTAACACATCAACTATCACAGCAGGCAATGTTATGATCTCAGCTGGGTAAGTCATATCTCCAAGTGACACCTGGCTTGATACATCATATATTTGTTTTCAGCAGTTTAATTACCATCATGGACAGTCACTGAACACATTCACATAAGGCTGCCAATACTTTTTTTAAACAGAAGAACACAATTTTACTACAGAAGAATAAAAGCTGTATAAAACAATGTACAAAGAATTTAATGTAAACAGCAACAAGATTCAACCTTTTTCCCACCAATATTCTTTACTGTCCCTCAAACCTAGTGAAATATCAGACAAGTCTGAAGAAATTACTCTTTCCAGGCCTTTTCCTTGGACTGCTGAAGCTCCTTTTCTGCTGTGATGGCCTGAGGTCTTCTCCACAGTTCTGACAATCAGGAGATTTCTACCAAGTGTCACAGGGAAAGCCTCTACAACCTAAAAGAAACTGCCCTTCTGCTAAGATGACTTCCCAGTTTCTGAACTCTGGTAACCCCTAACCATCTATTTTGTATACTATAAAACTCAACTTTGTAAACTTTCACCGATGAGCTTCCCAGGTAGCTGATTGAGCAAGTTAACTTGAGTGACTTCCTCTCTCATAAAGCTGTCTTTAGTTCACTTCAGAAAATGACTGTGACTTTCATTTTTTTAAAAAAAAAGTCACCATCACACACTGGTGACTAAAATTTATTTTTCAATTTTTATTTATCTTTCAAATCCAAGTTCCCAAATAATAAACACATTACACTTCTGAACTGGAAATCTTAGTCAAAGCTGATTTGCACTTGGATAGCACATGTCAAAAACAGGGTGCAGAGGATCGTTTAAACCAGAGAGATCAGAGGTGGCTCAATACTTGGGACATCTCAGAAGATGAATTCACCTAAACTTCGCTCAACAAAAAAAAAATGTTCATAAAACACTCCCCAAGTTTGCATTTAATAAGTGGAAGGTTCCACAGTATCAGAGATTATAGAAGCTGCATTGTACAAGAATAGTATCTACAACCTACCCACCCTGTTGTTAGTATTCCTGTAAACCCATTCTCCCATCTTTACTCCAAGATATTTTCATGTTCCTACTCTTCAAGTAAATATCCTATTCTCTTTCCAGTTTAATATTAGTCTGTAATTGTCTGATATGGTTAAGCCATGGTCTGATAGCCCTCAGTTCAAGAATCACCTTCCCTTTCCCATTTGTTTCTTCCAGTTAGAATCATTATTTTCCATTCCTAAATTCCCCATTTGCCCATCAATGGAAATAATCTCTTATTGTTTGCCCACACCAAGGTGTATTTTCACTTACAACTTTGCTGGCTATTCCCACAACACTTCTGAACTGCATCCCCTGACTCTCTGGAAATGCTGGTCCCAATACACATCATCACAGGCACACTTTAGTCCACTTCCTGATCACCAGTCCCCTTTTCTATCAGAACTTTCCATCTCCCAAATGCTGATCTCCTGGTGAACCCCACTAACTATTCCCCATTCTTTAGTATGCATATTTTCGTAATCTTCATCTCCCCTCTTTGAACGTTATTCACTAGGCTTCCCTTGATGTCCCATAATACTTCTCTTCCTCTCCATTATTGTGTCCCACAACCCCAGTTCCAGGCTTCCCTCAAATTTCAAGCTTCATAAAAGTTAACCGACAGCCAAAATGGACATTTGTGCTCTTGAATCTCAACTGTTAATCAAATTGCCTGAATTTCATATGACGGTGGCTCTCTGCATTGGTGACATTCAGAACCTAAAACATTAACTATTTTTCTCTCTCTACAAGTGCTTCCACACTTGAGAATTTTCAGCATTTTCCATTTTTACTTCAGATTTTCAGCATCTGCAGTATTTTGCTTCTTGGAAAATGCATACCTTTATTTTGTAATAGCGATCCTAAAACAATTTGTGAGATTTCAGTAAAATGGGGATTGTTTGTCTTACTGGTTTTAAAACAAAATTGAACAAACCTGTAATTGCTTTCACAACCAACTCATAAACTTCAGGGATTTCTTCATTCACTGGAACACATAGCATTTCAAGAGTGACCCAGTGCAATGCCCTGTAGGTCATAAAATAAAAAGGGGATAAAATACTGTCAATCTAAAATTGCAGAACCTCTCATTTGTGAGGGCAGAAATGGCTACAATATCTTTCAAACTGTGAACTTACCAAAACACTCAAGTCTTTGAATATTGCTCAAAAGAGACATGTTACCAAAGCTTTTCCTCTTGCACTCGTCAGGACAAATGCAAGAGTACCAAATGTCAAATGACAACAATTTACATCAATATCAGTCAACTCTAATTGGTCAAGTTATTGCCTTGGAGAAAGCAAGGGAACTATCCAATGAAATTCAAAAAAGGCAGAAGGCTTGAACACATTCTTTCTGTTTACAATCTTTCACTTGATGTCTAACGCACTTGACATTTATGAATATCCAAAGTATCCTTACCTGATTCTTTTCTGAATTGCAAGGTCTTTTTTCTCGTCATCAGTTGTCTCTGGACAAAACACATTTTTGTATAGTCGTGTCATGATGTAGTTTTCAATCTGGTCCATCAATTTTTCTATCCGTTCAGAGGAACCTGGAATAGTAATTAGATGTATAAAACCTGCTTGCAGGGTAAAGATAATTTTAGTAGCAGATAACAAACCTGCACAACCCAAATGAAGGCTAGTGAGTATTGTAAACCTGAATTTCTATAATGTGAATATTTTGCATATGAACAGTAAATGACTTGCGATTTTGTTGCAACTGTAACTGAAGAAATCTAAAATGAACACTGACTTTCAAAAACAATCACTTATGATGGAAACAATATTAAACACACAGCCCTGTGCAATTCCTTCTAATTGAAAATCCAGCACCCAAAAGTTAGCTACAAAAACTGACAAGAATTACTTCTTATTTCCAAATCCTAGCAAACAAGGTTGAGGAATATTATTTGTTCTGAGTGGTAAAAAAAAAAAAACAGGAAAATCTTAAGCAAAGCCTTGGCAGTTTTCTTACCTCATTTTGATTATTCTTAGCAAGTAACTACAATTTCTCTTGGCAAGAGGTGGACCAAGTTGATCAATTGACAGTGGATAAACACTTAGGGGAAAGTGATAATTGTGTAATACAGATTAAAATAATGGTGGAAAATGCCAATGGTCAACTTAGAGTAATAATCATCAAATTGAGATGAGCCGACTTCAATGGATCAAGACCTGGGCCGGTCAGACCAGAACCAAAGGTTGATGGGAGAAACAGTAGCTGAACAATGGGTTATCTTTAGAGATAGTTCAGGCATAAAAGTGTATTTCCTCAAAAGGGAAAACTAAGATAATCAAACCTAGAACTCCCTGGATGATGAAGGAGACAGAAATTAAGTTAAAGAAGAAAAAGTGTGCTTAGGACAGCTGTCAGGTATTAGTGTCTATGATGACGACATATGCATGAAGTGTGTTCAGCTACAGCTCCTTATTTACCACATGGAGCACCTGGAGGTGCAGATGGACTCACTACGACGCATTCACGACGCTGAGAATGTTGTCGATAGCACGTTTAGCAATCTGGTCACACTATTAGTTAGGGCTACATAGACAGTGAAGAGTTGGGTAATCACCAGGAAGACGAGTAAATGTGGGCAAACAGCACAGGAGTCCCTTGTAGTCATTTCCCTCTCAAACAGGTACACTGTTTTGGATACTCTTGGGAGATGACTTCTCAGGAGAAAGAAGCAGCCAGATCAGTGGCACCATGACTGGCACTGTTGTACAACAGGGAGGGTCGAAGTGTAGGTGAGCAGTAGTGACAGGGCACAGATAGGTTTTCTATGGCCACATGTGGGACTCCGGGAATAGTTTGTTGCTTCCCTGGTGCCAGGGTCAATGACATCTCTGCATGATTGCAGGATATTCTGAAGTGGGAGCATGAGCAGCCAGAGATAGGTGCACATTGTCACCCATGACATAGGCAGAAAGAGAAACGAGGATCTGCAAAAAGAGAGTTCAGGGAGTTGGGTAGGAATTTGAAAAGAAGGCCCTCTAGGGTTGTAATCTCAGATTTAAACTAGTGTGGCTGGGGTGAGGGGGGGTGCCACAACTCAGCAAGTTAAATGACTAAGGAGGAATCTAAGACAAAGGCCAGTAAGACTAAAAGGAAGAACAGATGAGGGAAGTTACTGAACACAGGGGGACTGGTGGACTGAAGTGTATCTGTTTTAATGTGAGGAGTAAGACAAGTTAAGCAGATTAACTTAGAGCTTGCAGTAATACATATAACTATGATGTTGTCACTATTATACAGATTTAGTTAAGAGAGGGGCAAGATCAGCAGCTTAACGTTCTGGGATTTAGGTATTTCCGGCCTGATAAAGAGAGATGTAAAAGAGGGGGAGTTGTGTTACTGAGGGAGAACACCTTGGACATCTCATCCAGCAAGGCCATATGGGTAGAGTTCAGGAATAGGAAGGGTGCCATCACTTCGATAGGACTGTACTACAGATGTCCCAACAGCCAGGTGATAGAAGAACGGAGAAGTGGATAGATTATGGAAAACGTAATAACAACAGGGTTGTTGTGCTGTGTGATTTTAACTTCCTCTATATTGAGAGAGACTTGCTTAGTGCCAGGGGCTTGGATGCAGGGAAATTTATCCAAATAGGAATGGAGTCCTACTAGATCTGGTATTGGAGAATGAACCCGACCAAGTGACTGAAGTTTCAATGGAGGAGCATTTCAGGAATAGTGACCATAATTCAGTAAGTTTTAAGTTACTTATGGATAGGGCTACAGGTAGTCCTTGTGTGAAAATACTAAACTGGGAAAGGCTAGTTACCACAATATTAGGCTGTTTGATAGTAAATCCACATCTGGCATGTGGGAATCTTTTAAAGGCCAGTTGATTAGAGTTCAGGACCATCATCTTCTTGTGAAAATGAAGGATAAGGATGGCAAGATTTGGGAATCTTGGATGACAAGAGAAATTAAGAACTTAGTCAAAAAGGAAATGGAGGCATACATAAAGTTTAGGAAACTGAAGACAGACGGAGCCCTTGAAGAATGCAAATCTCACAAGAGAGATGTGTATTAATTTGGAAAGTAATAAATAAACCATAAATGTACTATTTTTGAGTGAATCCACAGATATGACTACGGATTACAAAACTAACAAGATAAAGTTAAAGGCTTTGTAAATGAATACACTTGGCATTCAAAACAAAATAGACAAGCTGACAGCACAAATAAGTACAATCCAATAGCCATTACAGAAACGTGGCTGCAAGACGACAGTTTGGAAGCTTCATTTTGAAGGATTTAGGAAGGACAGGAGTGTAGAAAAAGTGGAGGAGTGGCTCTATTAATAAAATATGGTGTTAGCTAGTCCAATAGAAAAGAATGACTCAATTTCAGGAAACCAGGAGGTTTAGGTAGAAGATGTGACATGGTAAAGACAAGAAGTCATTTATGGCATTGGTGTACAAGCCCTATATTAGTAACCACATGGGAGCAGACAGTAAAAAGGAAGAAATAGTAAAAGTTTATGGGAAAGGTACAGCATTAATCGTTGGAAATTTGATCTACGTTTCGCCTGCAAAAGTAGCATAGATGAGGAATTCACAGAACTTTTTTCAGGATGGTTTCTTGGAACTATGCATCTTGGAGCAAACCAGAGAGCAAGCTATACTAGATATGGTATTGTTTAATGAGTTTGATTAATCTATAACCACATAGTGAAGGTGCCCCTAGGCAGCTCATGGCTTAAACTTTAATTAAGGCAATTATGAAAGTGAGAGCAGAGCTAGCCGAAAAAAAAAATGCAAATCAAAGCTAAAGGAAGGGTCAGTAGAATTGCACAGCCAAATACTTAAGGGGATATTTCAGAATATGCAGACTAGATACACTCCAAAGAGAAGGAAAAATTCCAAAGGGAGGGCCCAACATCCATGATTAACTAAAAAAGTTAAAGACAATTTCAAACTTGAAGAAAAAGCATATAATTGCACAATAAAATGGTGGCATGTCAGAAGTTTGAACAGATTACAAACAACATAAAAGTGTAACTATAATTAAAAATAGAGTTTCTATAGATTCTTTCTTGAAAAAGTTACCAAAGTGGGCATTGGCCTGAGAGAAAGCAAGTCTCAGGAATTAATAATAGAAAATAAAGGACATGACAGATGAATTGAACAGATATTTTGCATTAGTCTTCACTATTCAGAATACAAGTAATATCCCAGAAATATCTTTAAATGAAAGAAAGAAAATGAAGTACCTGATGGAAAACTTACAACCACAAGGAAATTGGTACGGAGCAAATTGTTGGAGATGGCAGCGCACTTAGAAAAGTATAACAATAATCTAGCGTGCCAACATGCTTTTATGAAAGGGAGTCATCTTTAATCACTTGATTACAGATTGAGGAAGTAACATGTGCTGTGGATAAGGGGAACCAGTGGATGTACTGTGTTCAGATTTTCAAAAGGCATTTGATAACATGTCACAACGATCATTGCAGAAAAAAAGTTTATGGTTTTTAAGGGTAGAATTTTTGTTTGGATAGAAGGTCAGGAGGTAACAGGAAACAGACTTGGTATAAATGGATCATTTTCTGGTTGATAAGGTAACAAATGGTGTGCCACAGGGATATGTGGAGGAGCCTCACCTTTTTACAAATTTTATAAATGACTTGGATGAAGGGACTGAAGGTATGTTTGCCAAATTTGCTGAGGACGAAGCTAGGTAGAAAAGTATCTTGTGAAGTAGACATAACCTATATAGAATCCCACTGTGGTGGGCAAAGATCTGCCAAGCTACATATAATGTTGGAAAATTTAAATCTATCCATTTTGGCAGGAAGAACATAAAAAAAGGGCCCATTTTCTAAATGGTGAGAGACTGCAGAGCTCCAAGAGGCAGAAGGATCTGAGCAGCCTTAGTCACAAACCACAAAAGTAATACTGCAAGTAATGAAGAAAGTTAACAGAATGTTACTGTTTATTGTGAGACCAAGTGAATACCAAAGCAGGGAAGTTATGTTTAAAATTGTACTCTTTAAAAAAAAGCACAGAACCACAGAATGCTGGAAATCTGAAAAAAAAAACAAATTGCTGGAGAAACTCATCAGGTCGGGCAGCATCTGCGGACAGAAAGCGGAGTTAACATTTCAGGTCCATTCTGATTTCGTCACTGGACCCAAAACGTTAACTCTGCTTTCTCTCCACAGATGCTGCCAGACCTGTTAAGTTTCTCCAGAAATTCTGTTTTTGCTTTTGGAATATTGTGTACCGTATTCATCTCCTTATAAAAGAGAAGAGAAATGCATAGAATGTAGTTTAGAGGTTTACTGAACTACTATTTCAAGTGAATGGGCCGTCTAATGAGGAGACGTTGGGTTGGCTAAGGTTTTATCCACTGGGGTTTAGACAAATAAGAGGCGATTTAATTGAAACATATAAAATCACAAGTGATCTTTACAGGGTGGATGTAGAAAGGATGTTTCCACTTGCCAGATTCTAGAATCAGGGGTGACTGCAAGAAGGAGTCATCAACACAACCAGCCGGAAAAAAGAACTCTAAAGGTTGTGAATCTTTGGAACTCTTTTCCTGAAAATGTGGCAGAAGCAGACCGTCTTTAAGTATTTTTAAGGTAGAGGTAGACAGGTTCTTGAACAACAAATGGGTAGAGTTATTGGCAATAGGTGGGAACATGGATCACCAGTGGTCTTACTGAACAGTGGCAACCTGAATAGCTTATGTTCCTAATCATTTGTTTGAATGTTAAAAGCTTCCAATTTTGTGCATGCATAATGGAAATACATTAGCAGTTATCTCACCAGTGTGTAGATTGATGGCTTTTTCATAGAAATGTGGGTCAGTTTTTTTTTTGAGAAAAATAAACTTTTGTTGGTAACTTATGACTATTTTCTTGTGCTAACTTAAACAACGTGGCGTCTAAGAAATCAGTACTACCCTGTGCGGCGTGTCTTTAAATTCACTGGAATGGTGTTGAATCAAGATATTGTTGAATTCTTCTAAATTTGCTTTTGTGCAAGTTTAAATACCACTACGTGACTGCCACCTCATAAATAGTGAGAATGAAAACATAACACCCAAAAACTCTTAAGAAGAGTGCTCAAAAAATATTGATTTAAATCCAGAGTACATATAAAGCATGTAATATCAAAATGTCAATTTTATGTCCTTGCCAGTATATTTTAAACAAAAACAAAGTTGCTCAGAGCAAGGCACCTTTAAAACTTGAGTGGGTCTGCAGTCGGTCAACCATGTTTTGATAGAAGTCCTGGACACACTCAGATTGTTCCTCAATGCTCAATTCCTAACGAGGAAGAAGTTCAAATATAACAACTTTAGTCAAATACCAGCAAAGAATTTATTTCTGGTATAACTGAAAAATAACCAGAGATTTACAGTAACAAATGGAATAACTTGCAATGCTGTAGTGCCTTAAAAGTTAAAAAGAAACTAAAATTAGTGTCACAATAAGAGACATCAACATGTAAAAAGAATTTGAGAAGGGGAGGAAAAAAAAAAAATCACAACTATTTTCTGAAAGGCATTTAACGAGTGTGTTACTGAAATAATGGGGCAAGAGTGTGGTAGAAAATAGGGAGTCAAGATGAATAGAAGGCGATAAAGATGTGGATGAATTTTTCTGTACTGAGATAAAGGCAGGGGCACTCACTGGCGAGAAAATCAATGTGAATTCCACTATTGAGAATTGGAAGCTTCACAACATTCTGCAAATTTTAAATGGTAGCATTACTACTGCAGTACTTATTATTTTAATATTGGAGACTCCTCTTAAGACATGGTGCTTTACATAACCATTACCTTGGACAAAAAAGAATTCTGGTCCATTTTTGATTCCCTTAGTATAGCATGAATTTCAAGACAGTGGAGGCAGTGTGGAAGAGATTTACTAAAACACAAGATGGTAGACTCCTTTTTGTGTATAGAGAAAACAATTCAAAAAACAATTGCACTTTTCATGACAACAAAGATTTAACTATAGAGGTGTTTGACAAAGCGAACTGGTCAGCAAAGTTATAACCAGACAGGATATTTAGCAAAACCTAAAAAGGAAAATGTTGGGAAAAATAAATCTTTTGCATTGTGCACTCAAGATATGGAATACCCTACCTGACACAGCAATCAAAGCAGGATTTATAATTGTTTCATTTAGGACAAAAATAAAAGGATGCAGACAAAGCATAGGGTCTTTTTTTAGTTTGAATAGACAGCTTTCAGAGAGGTCACGAAAGACATGATGAATCAAATCACCTCCATCTGTGCTGGAAGATGCTATGTTAATTGTTGAGATTTTGTAAACTCAGATTTTAATTGGTGCAGTTACCGTCCTTCATTTTTTTGGCAAGATTTAAATTTTTCTTGCAGTAGCTTGTGTGAATTTACAGTGATTAAATTAACAAACAGCTTTAGGCATTGACCTCTGCTCAGTGATTACACCCCATCTCCAAGACAGAAGATTGTGGGTGCAAGGCCAATTCCATAGACTTGAGCACACAATCCAAATTGGTAATGTCATGTAGCACTGAGGGAGTGCTGCAACCTTGTCTTTCAACTGAGATATTCAATCCAGTCTTCCTGCATTGGTGGATGTAAAAGATATACCTACTCAAAGAGAAGTACAAGAATTCCCTTATAGTCCATTATGGTTCCTCAAACACTTTCACTAACACTTATTATATGATCATATATCTCAGTATTACTTGTTGGACTTGAATGTGCAGAATTTGATTGCTGTGTTCCCTCATGTTACATCAATCACAACACTGCAAAAGTGCTTATATGGGTTCCCTTTTCTTTCAGCCTAATTCTTTCTTCACATTTAGAACTCTGTTCATTTATTACAAATCACAAGAATAGCGTATTGGAACTTTTATACTTCTTAGTTACATTCATTGGGGGCAGGAATTCTACTAAGATCAAACGGGAATCTGTTATCTACTCAAAACCAATGTTGTATAAAAACTTATAGTTAATATTGAATGTACCCAAATACAACTGTCTGCAATCCTGGACTCCACAGTACAGGAAGAATGCTTAAGCTTTCAAGAGTGAAGAATGCAGTTTCTCTATGAAATACTCTGACACAACAAAATTCAAATAGAAATAAAATCTGCTTCTGTTCATCAGAACAACAATAATATGAAATAAAGGTTTAAATATAAAAAGATGAACAGCATAGACAAAAGCAGAGATTGTTCCTGACTCCTCTACTGGGAACATTGGGCTATGGAAATGCATTTAAATATAAGATTTGGACCTGAAAGCAAGAAAAACTTCTTTATACAGAGCATTATGGGATTCACTCCAAAGTTAGAGGCTGAGGTCCAAAGTATGTTTGCATTCAACACCAAATTAGATACATGGACAAATGTAAAATGGTTGAATGGACATGGAAACAGAGTGGACAAATGTAGTTTGAGCTATTTACTAATGTGAGGACATATGCCAGGGTGGATGAGTCCAACTGTGTGTTTCGCGGTTATAACAGACCTTATGAACCCCATGAACATTATTACAATGTCAATTATTACTATAATATTTCAGCAAGCTCAGAATTAGATTATAAAGAGTTTTCAGGTCAGTTGTTGGATATTAATTGTTTTTTATGTTCAACTACACAATACACAGCTGAAATGAAGTGCTTTCAAATTTTACCTTTTTATGTTGCATTGACTCAATAAATCCTCTGCATTGTTTTAGTATATCTTGACCAGGTTTGCGAAAGATCTTAAGGAAATCAATAAAATCCTTAGATGCACGTTCTGTTTCTAGGCTGGTCTGCCTATTTATGGATGGACTTGAGGCTTTAACTTCCTGACTGTCTGCTACTTTTGACAAGAAAAAATAAATGAGAAACCCAGTGTTCAAATACCTTTCGTTTGTTTCATATTTAGTTTGTCTGAAAGCCAAGTGTAATCTTGTTATAGAATGCTACATTTTTAGTATAAAATATGCTACAGTACAATATCTGTTATGTTGCTTCAGAAATCCAGTTTTAATCAATGGATTTTATTTAAAGTTTGCAACTTTTGTCACTGGATACTAACTGTACTTTTCCTAATTGCTATGAGAGACAAGCATGCAAGAAGAGCAAAACTGAAACAATGCCATCATAAGTGATTAAGCAGTTTTGCTCATCATGGAGTAAAAGCAATTTCTACTTCCGAAATTATTGTTGGGACATTAAATAATAACATCTCAGAAGTCACACCACCTCCTTTCTTGCTTTTGTGTTGGCAAAGAAATCGCAACAATATCAAGAGCAAATACATCGTAAAGAACTCACACGGCAGAAGTCAATGTAGTTTCCAGTACCAAAGATGTGAAATTTTTTTTTTGGAATTAGTCAATATTTGCCAAAACACAATCTCTCGTAGATTTACCAGACTAATCTGTTATAATGTCATTCCTATCAGATACTTCAATTGAATTATAAATTGGTTTAAAAAGATTAGGTTTCTTCCAACATAAAATAGCAGACATAGGAAGGCAATGTGCTCATCCACCACCAACACCAACTGCAAGTTCTACCCTCATTTTACAGCTGAAAAATATAATGGAACACCAATAAAATTATTTCAAATAATGTATAGGCTGTAAAACATTTAAAGCACTATATAGGTACGTTCATAAAATATTTCATACTGAATATGTATCATGTTTAATTGAATAATTGGAAATTATAGCAATAAACTGTATCAAGCAGTACATAGGGGAAATAAATTCCCACTAAATGGCCTCTATTACTACAGAAAAATAACTACAAAAAAGGAAGTTAGTAATAACAATGACAGTCAAAGAGCTCAGAACTGTTACTAATTTAAATTTCAGGTCAAAAAGATAACTATAACATTAGTTCCCGGGAAGAAAATCAAAGTACAATGCTTTTCTTTTAGAAGCACAAATTTTAAATTGTATCAGTCTGAAAGCCTAATTTGAAACGTATTGTATCTATAGAACATACAAAGTAATTTTATTGAAGACAGTATGAAATGTGGGAATGATATAAAACTAAAGCATCATTTTAAACCCACAATGATGTAGCATTTTTCAACATGCAGAATAATCTGAGCTGCAAGCAATTACATTTACTTTTGCAGCAGATGCGAATCTGTTTTTAAATTTAATAGATGTTGTAAAAGATTACTCATGGTTCCTATCAAGGAAAAATGGATCAAAAAGAACAAATCAAATTAAACATTATTTGCCTAATTTTAAAGTTAAACAATTAGGTACAAATTAGTACTTACTTCTGCATTGTTTTCAAGTTTAAGATGCAAAAAGACAGTTATTTAGCGTTTACACATTAACTACTGCATTTCCGTTGTAATTAAAAGCAGATCACAAACTTGTTCATAATTTTTTGCCACATCACATCAGCTATGCAGTTATAGTACAATGTTTGTAGTTATATATTTGTAGTTATATATTTGTAAGCATTTCATGAAATTAGATGTCAATTGTGTTTTGTGGGAAAGTATTGGCTGGATAATTTGATAATGCACATGTCTTGCCAGTACCTTTTTCTCTCATTGAAAATTACAGGCAAACATTCCATCCTAAGAAAGATGCAATCCTTTCACATTTGCACAATAAATTAAACTTATCCTAGAACTTTGCTAACTAATAAGACATTAACTCATATCAGACTATATATATCCCCAATCAATAAGATTACTTTTTTTAAAACTTAATTGCAATACAATAAAACTAACCGTATTGCCAGTTTCATAACAATTTTGAGCCCTATGATAAATTGATTAGCACCTACCTTGCAATTCACCAGCAAAATACTGCAGTGAAATGAGGGGCAAGAGAGTACTAAATGAACACAAGGCACAATGAAAACAGAAAAGGAAGCACACATTTCCCACATCATGTATATGAAAAACAAGCAAGAAATTCACACCAAGGTGAAAGTAGCTTTGCAAAAATGCAGAATTTGCATCATACAATTTGATAACATTGCAATCACCAGGTTAAAATGCTGCTTTTCGGCCTCCAAACGAAATGTCATCTACTGTGTTTATCACTTACATGTCCTATCACCAAAATTCAGTTGGGTCTTATTAGTGCGCTTGCACCACTGCCATCCTCCCACACTAGGTATCCTCTGACCTTCCCAAGGGACAATTTAGTTCTGTGATCCATGCTCATTAGGAACTGGATTTGTTCTGGCCAATTCATGTTACAAGAAACCTTTACAGCCAGAAATGACATAGGAGTGTGGGCTGGATTCAAATCTCTGAAGTAAAGATCAATCACTAGCCAACTACACCAGACATTTACAGGAGCTCATAACATTAGATTTTACTGAAAAATTATTGGCAAAATGTACATTACATATTTTGTTATATAAACATGACTGCAAGATTATGTTTAAAACCTCTCAAAAGAATAATTAACTAGCTTTCCATAAATCCGATTAATGCAAAGCAGCACGAAGTATTCAACTCAAGTCATAACTTCAATAATTCTCAACATGTTCTACTTTACATATGTGTTAAATTTAAAGCTCCTTATTGGAATAGTGAGTAAAAATACTATCTGATTTATTGTATGAATAATAAAAATACAGTAGAAATGTATCTGTGACTGACCTAAATGTTGGGTGCACTATTTTGTTTTTTGGATCAAAACTTCATTTCTAAAATTAACTAATTAATAGTTCATTTTTGAAAAGGGCACCGCATGTTTATATTTATCTATGTTAAAATGTATCAGGTATTGTACAGCAGGATTTGCAAAGGAAACATGTAATAATGCAGGTTATATCATGGTGAGCACAAAATCAACCAGACATGAACATAATTCTGAAGTGGCAAATTAGGAGTAGTCCATTGGAGCCTCGTCCACCATTCAATAAGATCTGATCATGGCCTCGCTCCACTTTCTTGGCTACCCGGATACCTCTGACTGCCTCAACAATCAAGAATCCATCTCAACCTTAAAATATTCAATGACCCCAGCCTTCACTGTTCCGAGGTGGAGTTCCACAGTCTCAAAACAACAAAAAAGTTCTCATTTATCTTAAATGAGACAGCCCTTATTTTTAAATTTGTTCCCCAGTTCCAGTCTCTCCTAAAAAGATGAAAACACCTGCTTAACATTCATCCTGTCAAATCCCCTTAGGATTTTGTGTTTCAATAACATCACTTCTCATTCTTCAAAATTCCAATAGATACATGGCTAACCTTTCCTCATGAGGTAACTCCTTCATCCAGATAAAGTTAGATAATTTGCTGTTATGAATAAATGCAGCAATATAACCCATCTTTAAGAATGTGTTGCCTATTAATACCCAAGAGCTTAGGATTTCCTGAATATGAAATTTAATTTACATTTTTCTAAATTCAGAATATGCTTCAATAAACTTGATTATACTACATTATAATGCAATAATTTTAGTTACCTTGGTATCATTCACAAAAAAACCATCTGACTAAGCTATCTATTCTACAAGCAACACGTTTAGGATTAAGGAAGAAAATAGATATGTATATTTTATGTAAAAATATACACATCTTAAAACAGAGACACCAGGGATTCAATTTTTAGTAGCCATAGTTGTTCCAAATTGAAAAGCAAACATACAAAATAAGTCTCACTTGAAGCAAACACGGAATAACGATAAAATCAAATAAACTGTGGCACAGTGGTAGTGTCCCTACCCCTGGACCAAGAGGCCTGGATTCAAATCCCACCTGCTCCAGAGGTACGTAGTAACATCCCTAAACAAGTTGATTGGAAAAACAGGTTAAATAAAAAGAGTTAAGTAGGTTGCGGCACAGTGGCAATATCCCGACTACTGGACCGGAAGGCCCGTTTTCAAGACCCATCTGCTCCAGAGGTATGTAATAACATCTCTGAACAGGTTGATTAGAAATATAGGTAAAATCAAGTAGTTTATTCTGACTTTCGGTTTTGCTTAGTATATGCCCACAGAAGTATAAAAGAAAAAACAAAAATCAAGAATAATTTCAACTTATTCAAAATAAAAAAAAAAAAAAAAAAATCAATAAAATACTTCATGCTTCAGATTAACTGTCCTGAAATAGTCTTATCGAAGCTAGCAGTTTCATTTCCAGCAGCTAGCAAAGATACAAATCAGTGGGCAGATCTGACACTATCAGAACATAACACATTTGTGCTCTAATAGTCTGCCATCAAGTGGTAGGATTTCAAAACAGAACAAGCTTTTGATAATAGCAGGAAAGTATTTCACCAAATGGAGAAGGAACAGTTCATTATGCTCTTCCAGGATTGGTTGCAAAAAAAATCCGCAAACAGAACTGTCTGCAAAAGAACAGAAACTCTGGGGCTGCGGGTTGAGCAATCCCATAATGAAATCAATACTAGACTTGATCCCAGGTAACTTTATGACACTTGGGAATGATGTAAATGTTAAAAAAAGGAAGGTATTTTAGTTTTCATATAATGGTTTGAGAAATAAAATTTTAAGTCGCCCTTCTGAATGACATATTTTTCGTATATTAGAATTCAAATCAACAACATCTCATTTCTCCTCACAAGAAGTCAAAAACTAGTTATGAAATAAAAGTTTGATTTGAATAAAGTTACCAATTTAGTTGTTCCACAACTATGGGCAGTAAAAGTAACCCCAATTACCCAAGCAAAGGTAATTCACAATACCAGTCAGCGTAGACAGGCAGCTTTGCGGCTGTGCTGCATTACCTTCAGTAGGAGAAGCCAGCTCCCATGGTGGAGTAAAAATCTCCTTCAAATCCCTAAGAATGTTATCCGCATTGCATTCCCTCCCACCTAATCCATGCTTAAGAACTTTGTCTTGATTCACTGAATGCAAATGCAAAAAAGAACATAAAGCAAGAGACAAGTGGGAGAATAGCATGAATGGGAAAAACAAGTCATAAAAAAACATGTAATTATTCAGACCATGATCATACAGTGCAAGACTATGAATGAAAATTAGATACCAATAGCTGTTCAATACCGTCATCCTGCGCCAAGTGACTGGATGACGCTGAGAAGTATGAAATTATGTAATAGACTTATTTTCCTCTTTGCTTATGCTTTCATTTCTTATTCCGTTAAATGTAATTTCCACTGGAGAGCTATCATTAGTTGAAGAAAACAGCAGCATCGCAATTTGGAGATCAAAACACATCTAACTGCTATTCAAAAAAAATGGCCTCCTTAATTATCGACTGGAAAATTCCTCAGAGTTGCTGCCAAACCAACAGGGCTACTTTGCCAGAAATATGTTGGACACCAATTTTGCATACAAACAGGCTTTTCATTGCCCAATAATGCGGGTGAGATAGGAACAATTGAGGAATTTTCCAGCCACAGGATTAAGTTTTTAAATAAACCACTTATTTTTTTCAAATTGTATTTAGACATTAGAAAATAGGAAATCCACTGAAAAAGTATAATAAATATAAGTAAAGTATAATAAGTAAAATTGGGCCTAATTTCACACTGTGTTGTGAATCTTGTCTCACGATGGAACATATCTTACAATGTACAGATAAGTGAGCGTACTTAGTGAAAAATTAAATCGTTTATGTAACTTTTAGCTTGCAAACTAGAAAATGTTTCAGTTTTTTTAAACAAAGTATATTAGCTTTGAACGCTAGACATCCTATGGCCTCAGTGACCGAGTCAGCTGATTTGTGCCAAATGAGTAACAGTGCAGACATCAACTAAGATCTGAATGGAAGCTGTCCAAACTAATTTAACATAAATTCTTTATAGTCAGCTGAAGAGATTTTAATCTGGAGTGCAAGAGACTGGATTTAAATGTAGAACTGAAAGAAATCACTGCACCATCCAGCTTCCCTGGAACAATCTTATTCATGGTCATTTGCCTACAACTGCCTGAAAGTGAAATACAACCAAGAAAGGCCTCAAGATGATGAGAAAGCAAACAGAAGCGTTTGTTCTGTCACCACTGGGCATATGTAATGCAAAGTATGTAAATCCTAAGTAGTAACATTCCTCATCCTGAATAGACAACACTGGAGGGGGTGGTGAGGGGAGCAAGTTGAAACTTTTTTGGGATTACGTATAACAGACAGAAAATTTAATTAAATTGGAAACAGAATAAATATGCCTCTAGGCAGAAAACAAGGAGGAACTTGAAGCACCAGATAAAGCTAGATTTTATCCAGTTGCATAACTAAATTCACATTGTTTAGCATGGAGCAGGGAGGCAAGCTGCACCTGTGGTGGTATCACTTTCTCTGAAGTAGTTTTCCACCACAGGTTTTTTTTGGCCGTGTACAGCTCAATAGCTACTTTATATTGGCGCTGATCATAGACAGTAAAAGAAATTACGTAGATGCTGGAAATCTGACATACAGGCAAAATACTCGGCACACTCCACAAATGAGAAATAAAGAAATATGGTACAACTTTTCAGAATGCTTTTCAAATCAGCCATATTATGGAATTGGAAGGTAATCAAATGACAAATCTCAAAAACAAAATGAACATTGCAGTAAAATATTTATGGGTGGATTATGTAAATGAGAACCAGCTTTTAAATCATAATATCCAGAACAACAGGTGTAACTTTGAAGTGGTATTGAAATGGTATAAATGGCTTAATTTTTCACTATCATCAAAAATAAGTTAGGGAGTAAACTTGTAGTTGTCCTATATATCATTGGTCAATTTCATTCTCAGAATTTCCATAATAGCTTCACTTCCTGATTCTTGCCAATGTGATGACTCCACATGTAATTATGCAAAGCACACCAACATTTGCAATCAGAAATATCTGGCAAACGCAAGGCTAAATTGTTAAAGACACTTGTTCTCAGAAAAGAAAAAAGAAATCAGATCAAGCATTTCCAAGCTATTTACCTTTCTTTGGTGCAGCCCGGGATGATGGACTGAAGAACTTTTTGACAGTCTGGACTTTTCTTTTTGTCTCATTTGTTTTTTTCTCTTCAAATTTAGAGAAGGTGAGTGATGGAGCCCCTTGGCTGCTAGCATAAGCAGCTTCCTCTTCACGCTGTAAACTTTGTATTCAAAATAGTTTAGAATAGTTTTAGATTAGTACACAATGCAGAAGCAAATATTCAATGCATACTGCAGCGGGTCTATTATCTTATGTAGCAAACTAACCTGCTTAGATAGATTTTACATGCTTTAAATGTTATTAAACCTATTGCTGAACAGATGACATAATTAGTCAGCAAGTTCCCCTTCAATTAAATAGAAAGGATCTTTCAATTATGGACATGATGAAAAAAATAAGTAATGTCCAAGAATTCCTTGAGAAGGAAGCAAAAGCGAAAAGAGACACCAATTGAAAAAAATATACAGGAGAAAGCAAAATCAAAGAACAGCTGCACAAATTCAATGGGAACATTAGTCTAGAAACTTAGCTGCTTAATAAATTAAACCAATAACACAAAATAGTTGTCCCTGGTGCTCAAAATGTTCAAATTACATTTCGTACAATGTGGAATGCATTATATCCACTCAATTTTATTTTTTGTTAGCATTGGTTCTCTGTTACCATTCTATAAGCCTCAGCATAATACAGGTTCCAGACCCGTAACACTTGTTCTATGTAGCTCAGAACCATATCACATTCGGCAATTTTTCCCCAATATGCTTATTACTCAAGGGATTGATTTTTAAAAAATACACATTATGGATGAACAAAAGTAATGAGCAAGACTGACAGGTGCCATGGTTGACAAAAACGGATTTCCATACATGGTCAGTCTTGGAATGTGTAAAGGATTTGCTAGTAGGGTGCAAAACAAGCAAAGCAGTAGCACTACCGTTCTGCAAGCTCCCAGTCTTCCTGAATTTGTCGCTGTCTTGCTTTGCTGTACTCTTCTCTCCAACACTTGGAACAAAAACCTTGCCAAGCAGGATTTCCATAGTAACCACACCCTTTCTTACACAGCAGCTCTGACTGGTCCACATGAATTCCTCTACGTTCCGATTTCAAGCTCATATTTCTAACGGGAAACAAAACAAAGTTACAATAAAGACAAACTAAAGTCTGAAAGAAAGACCAACTCTGCATAAAACAGTTATGTAAAACTGATAGACGTCATTAAATAATTTACTAATTCCTCAAATAATACGATAAAACTAGAATCAACTATTTTCTTTTTTCTTGTAGCTCTATTAAAAACGAAAAGCTTGCAAATTCAGAGCACAGCTCTAAAAATGATTAAAATTTAGAGTAATGAATAGGCTTGATCTTACACCTGTAGTCACCATCTCAGGCAATGACACTTTGGGTAACTTAGAAGACAACACAGAGGTGGGATCTGCACATATATGAGGCTCAAATAGGGTATATGCCAGCTTGAAGGAGGACATGTTTGCACAAGATTTCTGCTGCATAACAGAACTTCCATATATCCTTTGGCCAATGACAGAAAAACAAAGGAGTCCAACATTTCCTTGGCATAAGGCTTTGCACATTACCGGTAAAGTTGAGTGCCCAGGTTTACAAACAACCATAACTTCATCAGCACAGTTGAAGCCCAAGCACAAACTATGTCTGATGGCTGAAATCTCCCTGGAAGCCTTCACTGCAGAAATCTTATGACTTCCCCACAGTCTTCAGAGTGCTACCGTCATGGTTAGAGTACAGTGTACAAAAGATCTGACACAAAAAGGGCATCACAGCACAGCACTTCAGCAATTGATCTAATTATCAGATTACTTTTGTTACAAAGTGGAGTTGACCCCCTCTGAGAACTAAAACTTAAATACCCAAAGAGGAGCACCTCACCTTATAAATCTGTAAAAGGAGTGTGAAAAGTGGTGTAACCTGTCTTTCAGCAACTTCTAGCGGTTAAATAAAAATAAACCCCTGTCACTCACTTTACAATCAACAAGAAACAATTTATTTACCTAAATCTAACAGTGAACAAAATAACTAAATTAATAAATCAAATAAATCCCTTCCAACTACTAACTAATCCTGAATAAAACAAGATTCTAATGGTATGCTGTTCCAATAAATACAAGCTCTACTTAAAATAATAGAATTAAAAATGTGAATTTAGTGTCTCAAAATTAAAGCCAACCATTGTGCCTTCCGAATGCGCGGTGCCTTCTCCATTGATTCTTCAGTCAGGTATATTAACTAGAAGTACCATCAGTACCTTTGATTTTCAGATGGCGCTTTCTCTAAGGCTTAGAGAATTCTGTGAGAGCCAGTGATTCTCTCGAGAGCTGATGGCTGTTAACTCTGGCAGGTGGCAGTTAGCTCTCCTGTCTTTGTCCAACTGTCCTCTTCTTTTATACCCTCGATGACATATCAATTTATTAAACTAGGATTTGTCCTATGTGGTCAAAACCATCAGATTTAAATTTAATTGGTTTTTGGTATCCAAGTGCCTGGTTCAAATTGATTGGCTAAATTCAAAACTTGCTGCCTTAGTAACAAAACAAAACAAAACTGCTTTTTGGCACAAATGATTCAATTCGGGTGCTTACAGTGTATTTTCAAGCTGCTCACAGACATTTTATTTAGATCTCTAAGCATAGAAAAGCACAATCTTTTAAATGGATCATGCAGTACTTTCTCCCCCAGCATTTTACAAACACCAAATTCTAACTTCCTGTCTCTCAATCCACAAGTACTCTATCCAACTTTACAACATCTCCCTCCTTAAGATAAACAATGAACCATCATCATAAAAAGATGGCTTCATATTTTTTCTTTTAAAACTTTAACTCCATTATTACTAGATCCATAACTCATTAATATATATAACACGGCCGCTTCTATCGTATACAAACATTTTTCTTTTAAACCCACGATAAAGCATCATGATAATATTTTCACGACCTGCAACATGTACAATCTGTAAATTAAATGCTTGTAACAAAAGACTCCAATGAAATTATCTGGCGTCTTGTCCTTAAATCTTTCCAGAAATGTCAAAGGATTATGATGGGTTTACATAACCCTCTCTGATGCATTGTTTCCAACGTAAATATGAAAATGTTGCAAGGCCATTACCAAACAAACTCTTTTTCAATGGTGGAATATTTCTTCTGGTGGATATTAAGTTTTTTTTGAAAAATAACAGATTGGCCTTTCAATTCCACAATCATCCTTCTGTAACAACACAGCTCCAAAACCTACACTGCTTGCATCAATGGCAACTTTAAAGAGCGTGGCTAAAACTGGTGCGGTGGTTAATACTGCTTTTAAATTCTTAAATGCCTCCTGGCATTGTTCTGTCCATTGAAATTTCATGTTCTTTTTTAACAAATCCATCAACGGTACCACTACCTTACTGAAGTTTGGCACAAATTTCTTGTTGAATTTGCTCAATCCTTAAAATCACAGTACTTTCTTCTTCGAGGATGGTCTTGGAAATTTCTCAATGGTCTTCGTCTTCGCATTTCTTGGAGTCATCGTCCGTGTCCAATATTGTGCCTTTGCAAATTCTGTGTTTGCCAAGTTTATGACCAACTTTGCCTTTCATAGTCTCTCAAAGAGGTCTGCCAAATGCTCCAGGTGATCTTTCCACAAATGACTAGAGATCACTAAGTCATCTGTGTAGATGACACAATTAGTCAATCCTGCAACAACTCTGTTCATAAGCCTTTGAAAAGCGACTGGTGTGTTTTTCATTCCAAAGGGCATTCCTTTTAATTGATATAGCCCATTTGGGGTTACAAAAGCAGAAACTTTTTTAACTCTCTCTGACAAAGGTACTTGCTAGTAACCACGAAGTAAGTCCAACTTCATGATGATGTGGAGGTGCCGGTATTGGACTGGGGTGGACAAGGTCAGAAATCACACGGCACCCGGTTATAGTCCAACAGGTTTATTTGAAAACACAAGCTTTCAGAGCCTCTCTCCTCCTTCAAGTGTTCGTGAGCAAGGTAGTATCAGACACGGAGTTTATAAGTAAAAGATCAGAGTATCACACCACTGATGAGAATGTACTAAACAAACCTAAAATGCTGTTAAATCTTTAATCAATTAGGAATTTTAAATTGATTAATACATATATATAAATCCCAAAATTCCTTTTTGAGTCACTGTCCTGAGAGAACTAAAGGTTTTTTCAGTGTAAAGAAGAGGTCTGACCTAAAATGTCACCTCTTCTCTACAGTGATAAAACCTTTAGTTCTCTCAGGACAGTGACTCAAAAAGGAATTTGGGGATTTACATATACATATTAATCAATTAAAACCTTCTAATTGATTGAAGATTTACAGCATTTTAGGTTTGTTTAGTACATCCTCATCAGTAGTGTGACCCTCTGATCTTTTACTTATAAACTCTGTGTCTGATACTACCTTGCTCACGAACACTTGGAGG